CCCCCCCCCCCCCACCCTACCGCGGGAGGCTGAAACCTATGCTCAATAAATGGTTAAAGATGGCGAATGCATAGTTTTTCTTGTGTTGCAAGATGAATTCCAGCCATTTTTTCTTAATTGTCGGGTTTCCAACTGAAAACTAATTTCCACACGTCACAAAATTTTATAACTCAAACAACTTCATTTTTACTGTACTGAAACTTTGGTGAGAAGATAGAGTTTCAAAACTCAATTCAAGATTGAATTTTTGGGCCTGTTTAATGGCCCTAAAAAATCCCTGGAAAAACCCTGGTCTACTGGGTACAGGTCTGGAGAAAGCCTGTCTCTGGTTAACATATGTATATTTGTCATACCCTGCATCACCTTGTACATACAAATATGAACTGGCTTTGTTATTGGTTAAATAAAGGCTGTTTATTACATCCACAGTTAGTAGTCCCTTTTACACTGTAGGTTAATGATAAGTCTCAAGGTCATTGTTTGGGCATATTTTGTATAAAGTAATGATTACATTTTCAATAAGTAAAATTTTCCTTTTACAGATTCTAAGATGATGGATCTTTGATGGCAATTGACCACTTGCGTAATAAACTAAATTTTGATTTCAACAAAAATTTCATCACAGCTCGAAAGAGCATCACAAAATTAGTAATATTCCAAAGTTTCGCTGCGAAATGTTGTAAAATGCGGAAAATATAGCTTTGCGAAGTTTGCCGTTTTCAGTCATTTTAGATTACAAACGGGAAATTGACAGCCCCAAAGGGTATTGGGCTGTCAATTTCCCGTTTGTAATCTAAAATGACTGAAAATTGCAAACTTCGCAAGGCCATATTATCCGCATTTTACAACAATTCGCAACGAAAATTTGGAATATTACTAATTTTGTGATGCTCTTTCAAGCTGTGATGAAATTTTTGTCTAGACTTGTTTAGATCAAAATTTAGTCTATTACGCAAATGGTCAATTGCATGCTGTGTTTGGAACAGTATTAATTAAATGTACATGAAGAAATCAATGGACTTGGTGAATGAACAATGGTATAGATAATATTGATTGTGAAATGGATAAAGTGTTAAACAAAATATGGCTTCAGGAGAAACCAGGGTTTTTTCAGGGATTTTTTAGGCCCTTTAAACGGCCCCCAAAACTCAATCTTAAATTGAGTTTTGAAACTCAATCTTCTCACCAAAGTTTCAGAGCAGTAAAAATGAAGTTGTTTGAGTTATAAAATGTTGTGACGTGTGGAAATTAGTTTTCAGTTGGAAGCCCGACAAGCCATCTTTAACCAGTTTATAGTGTCCCTGTTTTAACACATTC